GCAGCACTCAGGAGGCTGAGGCAGGAGGAGCACTAGTGTTTGAGGCCAGGCTGGGCTACATAGTGAACTACATAGTGAGACCCTGTCTGAAGCAAACACACATGCAAACACCAGGGTGGCCTTGAACTCCTGGCTCAATTGATCATCCTACCCATCCCGAGAAGATGGGACTACAGGTGCCACTGCACCCAGCAGCAGGAGGGATGTTTCACAAGCCTAATACTGACCTCGCTTCATACCCCCCCCCCCAAATCTCCCAACACATCTCTCTGCACCTATGAATTACATCAGCCTGGCTTCCTGCAACCCGGGCAGACATACTTAGCCAAGCCAGCTTTACATTGTGCCCTTGGTCCCAGCCCCTCCCCTGCTCTGGGACATCGGTCAATCAAGCAAGTCTCCTCCCTCACCCAGCACCCACTCCATCATTCTCGTTGGCTTAAAAACAGGCTTTCATATCTTCAAGCTTACTCTTGGGTAGCTCTCTGTGCCCAAAATCCTCCAGAAGAGGCATTTGCTGATCAGGCTTGGCTTCTGTCATTTGGCCCAATGGGCTCTTGACAGTTAGCAGTGACCTCCGGTGGCTCAGCCCCACAGTGTGGTGACTTGGCCTCCCATTACTTGAGCACTCTCCTCCTGACAGCCTCACCCTTCTCCTCGTTTCTTTTCTCTCTTGTTTTCCAGCACATCCCACTCATGATTTCCCTTCTAGTCAGAGGTATTGTTTGCAGTTTTCTCTCCTCTTTCTTCCACATCCTCTGGGTCTTTGCACATTGGAGGATGTTGGGGCTTGATCCCTTACCTTCCTAATTCTCTCTCTTACTCTCTTTCTTCTTTTCTTTCTTTTTGCGGCACTGGGGATTGAACCCGCGACCTTTGCACTGAGCTACATTCCCAGTCCATTTTTTGAAAATATATTTTTGAGACAGGGTCTCCATAAATTGCTGAGTTGCCCAGATTAGGCTAGGCTTTGTGATCCTCCTGCCTCAGCCTCCCGGGGGCTGAGAACAGGTGTTCACCACCACACCTGGTTCTTTTTTTCTCTCTTTATTCATTTCTTTGGTGATGGATTTCCAAATTGCTCATATTTTCACATTCATTTATTCCCTCCCTCTGTCTGTCTGTTTCTCTCTCTCTCTGAATTCATGTAAGAATCCAGACTCATACATTCACCTGTTCTCTTGATACTTCCCCTTGGAAGTCTTTGGTACCTCCACGTATCCAAAGCCAAACTCCTGATCCCCTTCCCCGCTGCAGCTGAGATTCATCTAACCTCCATAGGTGGAAACTCCATCGTGGCAGCTGTTTCAGGGATCAAAAGCTTTGGAGTTCTTTCTGGTCCCTCTCTTTCTTTGCCAACACGCAACCCATCAGCTATCCTGCCAGCTCTACCTTCAGGATCTAAGCCCTTCTCACCACCTCCTCTGCTGCCGTCCCCCAAAAGCCAACATCATCTCTCATTTGAATTTTTAAATATTTCAATTAAAAACTTTTATTGAGGTAAAATTCATATAATATAAAATTAACTGTTTTTATTTTATTTTGAGTACCAGGGACCTCATGCATGGCAGGCAGGTATTTGTGCTGCTGAGCTAAATCCCCAGCCCCTCAATTAACCATTTTAAAACAGAAGTAAGTAGTGTTTAGTGCACTTTTGACATTGCTTAATCATCACCTCTGTCTTATTCCAGAGCGTTTACACCACCCACTAAGGAGACCCCCATATCCATTGGGCAGTGGCTCCCTTTATCCACCTTTATTTTCTTTGCAGCATTTACCCCTTTGCATATATTTATTTATATGTAATTATTTATTTGCCTTTCTCTAGGACATGGGCTTCTTTTTCTTTGTTCACTAAGTACCTATCTTTAGCACCCAGAAGAGGCACCTGGAACATAGCAGCTGCTCAATAAATGTTTGAAGAACTAATGGACCAGATTTATTTCCAGAGAAATGAAGTTCACAGAAGAGCCATGGCCTGTGTGAAGTCCAACAGTTGGTAAGAGGAAGATTCAGGACCCTAATACATTTTCTCTGAGAGCAAAATTCGAGATATTAACAGGGATGTCTTGTGAACCTTCTATTCTGGACTGGTAACAATCCGGTGTGTTAATTTTTTTTTTTGCAAGATCCAACTTACAAGTGGAAAAACTCTTATGTGGAGAGGGAGAGGGTGCAATGATTGGTGACAGTGTCAGGCCTGGCGATTATACTTCTATTTTATTTTTGGTACCAGGGATTGAACTTATGACTTGCTCTTGTTAGGCAGGCACTTATGCCACTGAGCTAAGTCCCTGGCCCTGGTAATATGTTCATATAGTCCGATGTTTTGTAAAATTTGCAGAGGGAAGATATTTAAGGTGCCATTGGCTAGGCCCACTTCTTTTTCCTGTGGTACTTCTTTGTTGCAAATCCCTTTGCTATGAGGATGTTGGACTAGCTTCAGGTATTTATAGGATTTTGATTGGGTTTGGAAACATATTTTTATGTGGGTCACAGACACTGATGGCTATGGGTATACTTAAACTATGTAACGAGTTATTCTGGTGTAGGAATGGCTCCCAGGAATGCTCTTTAAGTGTAAAGTCCCAGGCTAGTGTGGCCAGGTTGTGTCCTCTGATGACCACTCTGGAAACACCTAGGTAAGAGACATGAGTCAAGAATTGAGGGAACTGAGCCAGAGGCTAGTTTGTAAAAACCATGTCCAAAACATACAGCTAACATGCAAGTTTTCCACACCAATTTACATGACATCACCAATACGAAGTTGGAAGCTGAAACTTTTTTAAAGTATAAGAAAAAAAAAATATAAAGATGGGGGCATTGGCCAATATACTTTCTTTTCTCTCTGTGGGTATATTGTGAAATGTGTATTAAGCAAAAAGTAGGCATGTCGGACACTACGTTAAAAATCCATGTTGTCTTCGGGTAGTTTTACAATGTTTATAGTATTTCTTAGCTTTTAAAAATACGTATGTGCTTTATTAGTTTATATTTCTACCCACACCTCGGCAGTGGGGGTGGAACCCAGGGCCTTCGCACTGAGTTACACTGGGAGCCCATTTTTATTTGGAGCAGGATTTCACTAAGTCACTAAATTGCCCAGAGAGAGCTCGAACTTGTGATCTTTCAGCTTCAGCCTCCCAGAGTGCCGCCGCGCTCCGCTTATTCATATTACGAAGGCAGTTTCATGTTCATACAAACTTTTGTGTTCGTGCTTTTATAGTTTTTTAAAGAGGGCCCGCTCCCCTCAATTCCAGAAGCTGGATCCGCCGGATGAATGACTCATCTGTGAAATCCAGGCTAGTGTCTGTATCTCGCCAAACCGGCTCTATGGCTAAAAGAAAGTTAAAATAATATCCATTTTCCCGGGCTGCTGTGAGCTTTAAGTAAGTGCAGATTTCCAAAATGGTTGGTGCAGAACTTAAACGCATTAGGCAATGAGAAATCTCAACCTGTCTTTAAAGTCGAGCCGCAACCAAGCTCTTCCAGGCTGTTCGCACAGCAACTCTCCGCTAACACCTTTCATCCACCTGGGGGCGGAGTCAAGAGTTTGTTTCCGGGACCTTCGGTCCTCCCTTCTTTAGGGAACAATTCCTTTATATGACTGGCGGCATCATTAGCCAGTACTGATTGGAGACTAGACAGACGCTAGGGGGTCTCCCAAAGCCGTTTAGGAATACCTCTTCCAAATTGACCAATTGCAATCTTTGGAGGGCGGGTACTCCTCTGGGCGGGACAGAGTGACAGGCGTCTTTTTAGACTAATGAAAACTTGGCTGCGGGTTAGGCAAGCCAATCAGGAGTGGGAAGCTGCCTGGGGCGGGGCTGGAGCTCCGGCAGTTGAACCGCTGGCTAGGAGTGGTATCCGTGGAGAAGGTGAGAGGCGGCCCGAGCGCCGGGTTCTCGGGCTGCGGCGACGATCTTGGGGGGAGGGGGCTCTCGGGGGCGAGTGGGTTGCGACGGGCGACTGACTCACAGGGTGGGAATCAGGACGGGAAGCTGATTTAATACGGGCAGTAGGTGGAATGAGGAGTTGTGGGACAGAGGCTAGAGTGAGAGTCGGGGAGTCTGAGCTCGTAGGAAGGACTTTAATGCGGGAAGCTGTAATGCGGGAGACCGCAGATGATAGAATATAAAGGTGCTCTTGTAATAATACAGCGTTGCGATTTAATGGGAGGTTTTTACGGGAGAGCCTCACTACATCGCGGACTGGGAAGGCAAAGGGTCCCCTTTCGGATCTAAACTTTGACTTGAGTGATGAAAAAGCAGTATTTGAGAGAGGGAGGAAGGGAGCCCCTTAGGGATGAGGGTTTGCCCTGATGAGGTATAAAGGGGTTGAATGATTTGTATTCAATCTAGAGCAACGCAGAATATTAGAGAGGAGGCAAGTAGATAAGAAAGTTTAGTGGAGGAGGCACGGAGGGAGTCACCACGGAGAAGACTGTGGTGGCCCTCCCTGCACACAAAGGGTAGGTTCTGCCTGATATAGCCTCTGATGGGGGCAGGGCTCTGGGGACTGATGTGAGCTGCTTTATTTTGTGGGAGTGCAGGAGACTGGATAAACCTTTACAGACATTTAGGAGGGAGAAGCCATGGGGGCTTCTGGGAAGAAGGCGGTGTGCATTATGAGGGCACAGCTTTGAACTGTTGCCATGATGACTGTGCTGTCTCTCAGATGGGGGACCTAACAGTAAGGATTACTATGAGCAGGCACCTAGCAAGTGTTTTAAGTTAATAATAATAATAATAATAGTATTCGGTGCTAGAGATGGCACCCTGAGCTCTCCCACTGAGCTGTACTCCCAGATCCTGAATTAACTTTTTAAAAAAATCTTATTCAGAAAGGGTCTCACTATGCAGTTCAGGCTGGCCTTGAGCTTGCTTTGTAGCCCAGACTGGGACTCACAACGATCTTCCTGCCTTGGCCTCCCAAGTGCTGGGATTACAGGCATGAGCCACCATGCCTGGCTCTGAATTAACTCTTAATTTTCCTAACAAGTCCTGCTGGCAGTTGACTGTGGGCTCTGGCTTCTGGTGGCCCTGGTTTGAATCCTAGCCCAGTGCTAGCCCTATGCCTGAACATCACACTGGCTTGGAGCCAGTTTTGGACCTCTCTTTGCTTTCATTTCTTCATCGGTAGAATGACCTCCCCTCTTCTCTGTCTGTACTATTCATCTAGCAGCTTCAACCTCTTTGCCTAATGGTGACTCCTGGGTGTCTGTTTTCAGCCTGGATCTGTCCTGAACTGCAGGGCAATATATCTAATGGTTTACTCTACTTTGAAGTCCAGCTAACATCCAGAGTTCAAACAGGCTTGTGGTCTCATCTGTTGAGCCTCTAAACCCAGTTGATGGCTGGTACTTCTCTCCAGGGATTCAGAACAAATACCTTGGAATTGTCCGTGACTCGTGCCTTTTCTCTTGTATGTATAGTTTATTTGCCAGCAGATCCATTAACTTTCAGTGTCAGGTGCTGTGGTGCACATCTGTAATCCTAGCTACTTGGGAGGTTGAGGCAGAAGGATCAAAAGTTTGAGGCCAGCCCAGGCAGCTTAGTGAGGCTCTGTCTGGGGTTGAGGGGAGGGCTGGGCATGCAGCTCAGTGGCAGAGTGCTTTCAGTCCCCAGTACTGCAAACAAAAATGAACACACAGATCCAAGATCCAACCGGTTCTCAGCAGCACTCTTGCTACCATTCAGGGTCAGGCCATCTCCTGTACTTACCTATTCTGTTGGAGCAATCTCACTGGGCTCCCTGCCAGTGCCCTTGACCCCCTATTCAGATCATACTGCTGCTTTGTTCCCCCTCCTGGTTCCTGTCTGACTTGGCAAGAGCCCCCACTATGCCTACAAGGCCCCCAAGGAGTCCAGCTTCTTCCTTACTCCTCTCAACTCTCACCCCTCTGCATCCCCCTTGCTCACACTTCGAGCTGCCATGGCTTCCTACTGTCCTTTGCACAGAGCAAGTGTATTGTTACCTCAGGGCCTTTGTTCTTGTCTGTATGACTTCTCCCTGTCCTTTAGGTCTGTTCATATGTTAACTTCACAGACAAGTCCTTGCTGACCACTAAAGCTTGCTTAGCTCCTGGCCCTGCCTGACTCCTCAGCTGGCTTAATTTTCCTCCTAACACTATTACCTGAAATAGATTATTTGTTGCATCTACTGGGCTTCTTAGACCTGCCTACTCCACTGGCTCCATGTGGCACTGGAAGGGCACATAGGTGCGCAAAGTATCCTCTGTGCAAGTGGTGGTGAGTGTGCACACCACAGTTAGCTGTTTGTTATCTTAGCTCTAAAAGATTTGCTGTCATTGCCATCTTTACCACTTCTTGGGTCTCCCTGTGATGTGCACAGGGTTGCTAAGCTGGGAGGGTCGAGTGTCAGTTGGTAGAGTCAGAGTAGAACAGTAACCTGGACAGATCGTGGTAGCAAAGGGCAAAGGATCTCAAATTCAGTGCCTGAAGGAGCTTGCAGGAAACACATTCCTACTCCCCTGCTCCTCCTTGGGCTTTTGCCGGTCGAGACCAGGACCAGGAACAGTGCCCATGGTCAGGCTGATTTCCACAACCCAAGCTCTGAGTAGATTGGCTCAGAGTTTGGGCTGGAGGGAAGTGACTTGACTGACTTGTCGAGCCCGAGCCCCTCCTCTTTGGCAGACTTTCCGCTGAGCAGTGTTGGGAATGCTGGTGACCCAGCTTGGGAGTAGGGCATCTGGCAGGAGGGGATGGAGCTGCTGCCTGCAGGGTGACCAGGAAGGAGCTGCGGAGAGAAGACCTTGGCGGTCTCCTCAGTGGCCATGACCCTGGTCTGTGGCCCCGCCCATTACATTGTTAGTCACTATGTCAGGACAGGACTGAGAGTACAAGAATAACAGCTTTGCCCTCTCAACTCGTGGTTTATCTGCTAGGAATGCGGTCACCTGGGCGGTGGCAAGAATGCCAGGTCGGACTAGAGTATGTGGTGCTGGGTCTGCAGGGAGCTGCCAGGGTGGTGATTTGGCCATGTCTGCTGTGGGAGGTGGTGTGGATTTGCCTCTAAGGAGTCTGACATGGAGGGGAGAATTGGCCCTGGGTTGGGGGCCCAGAAGCCTGTGAACATCCCAGGAACGGGTTTGGAAGGAGGAACCAGGGAGACGATGTAACACTGGAGAGCAGAAGGGGTCACCTTAGTGAAAGGTGACAGGGAGAGAGGGCTGTAGGCAGAGAAATTGAGTGTACCTGAGCTGAAGCTTTGATGTCATGAAAACTGGTGCCAGTTTTGTGAGCCAGAATGGGGCACTGGGGCGTCCACAGCCGCTGGGCTGGTTGGTGACGTCACGAGTCGGTAGGGGCGGGGCCTCGAGGCGAGGGGAGGCCAGGTCCGGAGGCTTGAAGCCCAGAAGCAGAGCTGGGAGAGAGTTGGGGCTGGAATGAAATCAGCGACCAGGATGGGACACTGGTCACAAAGCGAGGATGGAGGGTACAGGTAGAGGGTTAAGGTCAGGGAGGGAGGGGACAGAGGAGGAGGGAAGCCCACTGCCGGGGGAAATCCCAGAAACGGGAGGAAGGTGTGCCAGGGAGGGGTCTCCGAAGGGAAGAGAGGTGGAAAATGTGTGTGCGGCTGGGAAGGGGGTTTTGCATACCATTTGGAAGGAATCCAGGTGAAATATGGGGGGTGGTGGAATACGGGCGAAAAGTGGGGTGTGCATGGAGTAGAACCTTGAACAAATAAATATATGGGTAGAATTCTGGCAGAATAGTAGAGGGAGGATTTCAGGTAAAATATATAGGGACCCATAGGAGAACATGGGGGGTCCGAGATAGGGAGAAGCTCCCCCCATTCCAGCGTGGGAGAGCAGAGTGGAAACAGGACATCGTGGGAGAAGCGCTGCTCCCTTGCAGCGCAAAGGGAGCTGGGCTGGAATGTGCAAGGTCGGGGTCGTCCTGGCCGGGAGGAGAGTCGAGGCGACAGGAGTGCGGGATTCGTTCATCAGCAGTCAGGCAACACTTAATATAAGCCTTCAGAAGGGGATGGGCGAAGAGGAAGGAGGAGGAGGAGGAGGAGGTAGAGAAGGAGGAAGAGGAGTGTGTGTGTGTGCGCGCGCGTGCGTGCGCGTGCACGCGCGTGTGAAGGGAAGAGTTGGAATCACACAGATAACACAGAGGCCGAATACCTGAGACCGAGGTGGCTGGGTTGGAGCTAAGTCCCTCGGTGGAAGTGGGGATGAGCTGCTACAGTGGCGGGTGAGAATGGGAGGCTTGTGCGGTGGTGTGGGGAAGAGGAGGGCAGGGCCGGGTGGGCGGTAGGATGAAGTGTGGCGGACCCCCTTCCTCCTCGGGTACCACGACTGGGGGCGGTGATGCCGGTGATGCCGTGCGGCTTCTCTGGTGTTCTGCGGATGCCGCCAACTCCTTGGTAACCTCCCGCGCCTTGGCAACCGGGGCGGCGCGGCCGCTGATTGGCTCGCTGAGTGTGGTGGGCGGGAACTGCGGGTGGAGTCTAGAGTACTTGGTGGGGTGGGGCCAGCACTTCCAGGCACCGCCTCGGGGACCCAAGAATGAAATATTCGTTGAAATGTACAACAGTTTTGTTTGCAGGGAGACCTGGGATTATTAAACCTCTTAGCCCTCCTAGAATGAAAGCATAATTGCAAGAGTGTGTTTGCCGGAGAAGGGGACTCCCCAGGTTTCCTGAGCCCCTCCAAAAAGCAGCTCAAAGAGGTTCCCTCCAAAGAAAGCTAAAAGTTCAGATGTAGAGGCAGAGAATTGCCTGACAGGACATGTGGGGATCAGGCTATTGTCCTTGAACTCGTGAGAAAGGGGCTCTGGGGTTGACTGAGGTAATATTTGAAAGTCTGTGAGCCTGTTCCTTTGCCTGAGAAGAGTTCAGCAATTTCATTTCATTCCCAAAGGTGAAAGGGCTCTGAAAAGATTAGTTTCAAGCTCATCTTTTCAGCACATAATGTGTTTTCCAGTGTTAGACTCTGGAAGGGCTTCCTGGCGAACGTGCAGGACCAGTGAGGCAGCGTGAAGGAGACCAGGCATTGGAGGAGGGGTCCCAGGGCACGCAATGGTGGCTCTGTCCATAGAACAGCTGTGGGACCCAAGACAGAGCCTCTTTTCTTGCTAAGTCTCAGTTTTTCCCTCTGTGTGCTGGAAAAGCTCTATGAGGCACGCACTTGCCTTGTTCCTGTGGTCCCTGACAATCTCAGAAACAAAATAATAATAGCAATAATGAAGATTATGCCGAGATGGACCGAACAATTGCCCTATGTCACGTATTGGTCCGTTTCTCCAAGACTTGTGCTTATTCAGTCATAACAGTCTAAGAATGTGACCACTGTTACCTCGTTGAAGGCTAACGAAGGCCACGTGGGTATCATCTGCCCTGTGACATCTTGGGTTCCATCACTTAATCTCCTCTTGCCATTCATAATCTTCCAGCTCTGCTGTCCTGTTTTACTGATTTTAGAAAAAACCCAAGAAAACGCCACCTCATACCTTTGCCTGGCTGTTCCTAGAACCTGGGCACTGTGCTTCTCATGTTCAGCTCTCTTTTTTTTTTTTTGTCCTTTTTCCTTTTACTGGGGATCTAACTCACGACTGCCTGCTTGCAAGGCAGGAGCTTATGCTACTGAGCTAAATCCCAGCCCCATGTTGAGCTCTCTTGTGCCCTCCCTCCCAGCCTCCCACCTTGGCTAAGAGAGCAGCTCCTTCCCTGCTCATATCCTCTTTTCCCACTTGTGATCGTGTGTGTGTGTGTGTGTGTGTGTGTGTGTGTGTGACTGGGGGTTGAACCCAGGGCCCTCGCATTGTTCTGCATCCTAGCCCTTTTTAAATTTTTCATAGTGAGACAGGGTCTTGCTGAGTCACTAGGCTGCCCAGGCTGAACTTGGACTTGCAATCCTCCTGCCTCAGCCTCTCAGAGTGGTAGGATGACAGGACTGACCACATCCAGCTTTGTACATGTTGTATTTGTGACTGTGCTTTTCCTGAGAGCAGGGGTGTGGGCTGCTTTCTCATCACATCGTCAATACCCAAGATGGCTCTTGCTTTATGGTGACAGAGTGTCTCTCAGAGACACGTGCAGAAGAACTTGGGGAGGAACTCAGGCAGCCCCCTCTGAACCAGCCCTGGGAAACCTGGGTGGGCAGTGGAGGCCTGATCCTCTCTTCCAGCTTCTTGAAGAAGTAAAGTGAGTCATAGCTCTGCTGCCTAAGAGAAGCCATTTATGCATACAACAGACTGATTCATCAAATCCGTGACTGATTCCGTGCATCATAGGTGATGTTTAACACTGGCTGTTCCCTGGCTCTGGAGCTCATGGCTGTGTTCTCACTTCCCTCAGCTCTGTGCTCAAAGGACTCCTCCTCCGAGAGGCCCACTGTGACTGCTTGACCTCTGGGCTCCCTGTACTTCTTTTTAGCTTGATTTTTGTGCCAGAGATGTCTGCTGGATGGACAAACTCATGCATGGATAATAATCAGTATGAATCATGATTCTCATGATCACAGATTTCTGTTGGGCAGCATGTGTTGGATACAGTAATTAATGTGTAGGACGTAATTCTTAGAGTCTTTAGGTATATTGTCCAATTTAATCCTAGAGCAGGTCTGTGCCATTATTAGACCCATTTTCCAGATGAGGAAACTGGGATACAAAACAGTGAAGCCATTTTCCTAAAGTGCCATAGTTGATGAATGATGGGTCCAGGATGTGAATCCAGGTCTTCTAGCTCCAGAGTCTGGGCTCTTAGCCCTTCATCTCTGTCTTCCCCCATCTCCAGTGACCCTGGCCATGGACCAGCCAGCTGGCCTACAGGTGGACTATGTCTTCCGGGGTGTGGAGCATGCCGTGCGTGTGGCGGTTTCTGGGCAGGTCCTGGAGCTGGAGGTGGAGGACCGGATGACGGCAGACCAGTGGCGGGGCGAGTTTGATGCCAGCTGTGAGTGCCTGAGCACCTGCCTGGGGGGGGGGGTGGGCTCAACTCTCCTTCTTGGGATCAACTTCCCCCAGAAGATGAGGCCAGCTAGGTGTGGTGGCACATGCCTGTAATCCCAGCACTTGGGAGGCTGAGGCAGGAGGATCCCCACGAGTTCAAGGGCATCCTGGGCCTCTAAGTCAGTTCAAGGCCAGCTTGAACTATATACTCAAGTTAAAAAAGAAAAAAAGACAAGTCCTGCTGGAATCCTGCCCACTGCCTCTACTATTTGAGCAGAGCTCTCCATGGGGGTGGAGGTGGGATGGAGGCCTTGTTCCCCATGCAGAGGCCCTGAAGTAGGAGAACTTGGATGTGTTGCCCTTGGGCTGGGCAGGTGGTGAGACTTCAGGAGGAACTTTCTTCCCACCCAGTCATTGAAGATCTGACCCACAAGACAGGGAACTTCAAACAGTTCAGCATCTTCTGCAACATGCTGGAGTCAGCCCTCACCCAGGTAGGGACGGAGGTGGGGGTCCGGAGGTCTCCAGCCCCAGGTTCCAGGGATGGGTCCCCCTTGGAGGTTTGCAGACCCCTCTGCTTTCCCTTTCGTTGAAGGGCTAAGGCTTTTTCTTCTTTCTCAAATGTAAATAAAATGGCTTATTCTGGGTCTAATTATAGTTACTGTCATGTAAATGATTCTTGCCACAGAGAAATGTAAAGAAGAAAGCAATCACTCCACACATCAGGTGCACGCTTGCTAATATTTTGGTGAAAATCACTGCGGCCATTTCTTCATTTCTCTCTGTGTGTGAGTGTGTGTGTATGCATGCTTGTATGTGCATGTGCACATGCGTGTGTGTATTTGTGGGTCTCTAATTACATATAGTTAATTTTTTTCTACTCTTTTTCTGTTTCTTTTTTTAAAGACAGTTTCTTCCTATGTAGTCCAGGCTGGCTTGGAACTCACTGTGTAGTCCAGGTTGGCCTTAAATTTGCAGGGATCTTCCTGCTTCAGCCTCCTGAATTGATATACATTCCAAGGTATTCTGCTACCTGCTTTAAAAGGATTCAACACTGTTTTATAAGAATTCAGTTACAGGCCTGGGGATTTAGCTCAGCGGCGCAAGCGCCTGCCTTGCAAGCAGGCAGTCGTGAGTTCGATCCCCGGTACGGTACCGATAAAAAGGAAAAAGACAAAAACAAAACAAAACAAAAAAAGAATTCAGTTACGGCAGTGAGTCTGGCCATTTATAACTTTCATTTGCTGAGCTACTATGGTTTGCCAGCGCGCCATTGTAGACATGGGGGATATTTCAGTGAACCAGAGACAAAGTCTGTCCCCATGAAGTTGACATTCTAGTGGGAGACATAACATTGAAATAAATTTTTATTATTTTGGTACTGGGGATTGAACTCATGACCTCATGCTTGCCAGGCAGGTGCTTATGCCACTGAGCTAAATCCCTGGTGGAATTTTTATTTTTAATTAATTAATTTTTCTTCATCCAGATTGGAAAAAATTTTAATGTCAAGTAGTTAAAAGTATTAATGGGGAAAAAAAAGCAGATTAGAACTTGTAGTGACAGGGATGGTTATGTACTACTGTTATTTTTTTTTTTTTACTACTGTTATTTTTTAACTATAAAATATATTGTTTCTGTGGTTACAGATAAAATACTCCCTCATAATAATAAACTAATGTGTCATTTAGAGAGTGACAGTCTCTTATAGCCCCACTTTTTGTTTTTGGTACTGGGAATCAAACTTACGACCTGGCACCTGCTGGGCAGGCACTTATGCTGCAGAGCTAAATCCCCAGCTCCTGTAGCCCCACTTTTATCCTTCACCCAGTATTCAGCCTTTTAGAATCTATGTACAATGCTGGGTGTGGTGGTGCATGCCTATAATCAATCCTAGCACTGGGGAGGCTGAGGCAGGAGGATCACTGTGAGTTTGAGGCCAGACTGGGCTACAAAGTGAATTCAAAAGCTGTCTGAACTGCACAGTGAAACCCTGCCTAAAAAAGAATCTATGCACATTGTAGCATCATGGCCAAGAATTCAAACTGTGAATTCAGACTCATCACTGCTGCTTCTCGCTGGAAACCTGGAGCCAGTTTCTCTGTGTTGTGCCTTAGTCCCTATCTGTAAATTGGGGATAATAGTAGTTCCCATTTAATAATACTCTGAAGATTTTAAAAAATATTCTGGCTGGAGATTTAGCTCAGCGGCATAAGCGCCTGCCTTGCAAGCAGGCAGTCATGAGTTCGATCCCTGGTACCGATAAAAATGAAAAAGACAAAAAAAAAAAAAAAAATATTCTGAAGGTTAAATGAGTTACTATATATAAAAACCTTGGTAGAGTTGTCTGTTGAATAATAGCTGCTATATGTATTGTAATCCCAAATATTGAGTGCAGTTATCCAAGTATTATAATCCCTCTTCCAGTTTTCCCCACAATGTAAAAAGTTATATTTGTAATCCCATTGAGACATTATTGGAGTCTCAGCAAGTCAATTCCAATGCAACCCAGGGCGAGAATAGACACCAAGACATATTCCAAGTTAAGGGTAGCCAAGGGGTCCTAAATCCAGTCCCCGTGAGGATGTGTGGACAAAGGCCTGATCCTAGGCCTCTCCCAGAATTTATTATCCTGTGAAGAAAGGGGGTGGCTCAGGGATGAGTGACAGTGAGGATGGAGGGAATTACGTGAGTAACTTGAGCTGGCTGGCCAGGTGGGAGAAAGGCATCTCTGCAAAATGCAGAGATAAGGATATGCAGAAGGATCAATTTGCATAATTCAGTTGTGGTAACAACTGGATAGTTTTAGGAGGCGGTTGCTTCCGTTTCTGATAAGTAAACTTTTGTGCTCAGGGGAGTCATAGCTCTTTACCTTGAGACTCACACCCAGTTGACCTTCCTGGAGCTGTTGGCTCTACCATCCCGCTGTGCTCATATCTTTTACAGAGAAAGCTAAGCAGGTAAACAGGAGACTGTCTGATGGCTTTAGAGATTATATTGAGTACCTCAGCTAGCCTTATTTGCAATACTTAGAGCCAGTTGAAGAGAGAAGGAAATATAGTCAACTCTATTTAACAGTATAAGGAAATCAGACTTGATATAAACAAGGTTGTAGCAATTGTTCTGCCTTCAAGGGAAGTCACTCCAGTTGTCTCCCACAATATAGGTTCTGTTTTTATTATTACCAGCTTTTTAATTTATACTGTTTGTTAGTGGTTGTACTCATTTATCATTAGTGATTCTCAAACTACTATATGTGGTCTTATATATATTTTCAAATACTATTAAAGACATAAAAGAGCTTTTGTTAATACAGGTTACATTTTTGCCATAAGCTGGGTGCAATGGTGCACACCTGTAATTCTAGTACTTGGGAGGCTGAGGCAGGAGGATTGCCACAAGTTCAAGACCACCTTTGGCTACATAGCAAGTTCAAGGCCAGTGTGGACTATATAGTAAGAACCTGCTTCAAAAAAAAATTCTAATTTGCCATATTAGAAATGAAAACCAAAATTTGCTGGAGTCTTAGTGTTTCTGCATTTAACCTGTTTGGTATGTTGCAGTGGAAGAATATATAGAAAACTCCTGCCTCACACAGCTATACAGTTGGAAAAGGAAGTACTGTAATAGCTTATTCAAGTAATTGTATTTACTGACACAATGAACCTGGCCAAGTATAATTTCTTGAAGGTCAGTGGCAGTGTGGAGCCTGAAAGCTTATCAGTGAGCTGCTATTGGTACCTTAAAGCCCCTTGATGTGTCCTGTGGTTCACATGGATCTTTTACTTCTGTGCAATTTTGTAATGTCATGCACTGGCCATTTGGGAAATACTGGCTCACTGAGTTGTATAGATCCTCCGGATGCTGACCCATTTCACTCCTCAGTATTGGAGAGTGACATTTATTACTGTTCCCAGTGATTTCCCCAGTGGAGTCTTGCGCATTGAGAAGCCATCAGATGCACGGTGACAGGTGCACACTTTCTGAAACTTGAATTCAAATTCAAGTGCAAAGCTTGCGTGACACCACTGACAATGAATCGCACTTGCGGTTTTCTTGAAGAGACAGCCTCCCTTTGTTCATGTTTGAGGAAATGCATGCTAAATACCTGAGGCTGAATAACTGTAGTCTGACTGTCAGTTTTATCTTCCAAGAATAGTGTTCCATGAAGAAGTGCTAAGCCAGCTCAGAACTTGGTGGCACAGGCACTTACTGCTGAGTATACCATCACCCTCTGGTGTACAGAGTACTGGTGAGATGTGCACTGAAGGGTTGTGAATCCCTGAATTAATACTTTTTACTCTTTTCATCAAGACTATTTCTAAGCCAGGTGTAGTGCTGCATGCCTTAATCCCAGCAACTGGGACGCTGAGGCAGGAGGGTTGCTGCAAGTTCAAGGCCAGTTTGAATTGCATAATAAGACCCTGCCTCAAAAAACAAAAAACGAAACAACATAAAAAAAAAAAAAAAAAACGAAACAAGATGAACTTTTCTGTTTCATTTCCTGTCTTTGATTTGTTTATTTCTCCCTCTCCTCTGGCACCCCATGAGCCTGCATGGCAGTGCCAGTTGCAGTGGCTGCTGGCACCATTTGGTGCCCTGGGCTCGTGTTCTGCTAAGGCATCTGTAGGTTTACCCAGCAGTACTTTTGCACCATTAGTGTGGCTGTCACCACAGCAAGAGAGACGCATGATGTCTTAGTATTAAGAAAATTGTTTTGACCTCACAAACTCCCAGAGAGGTCTTCCAACAGCGCTTGGAGAGCTGCAGGTCCACGATACCTCTTTGGTTGAGTGCTTATTTCTTTCAGCTCATCTCTCTGAGCATATCCTTATCGCCTGTCACTGGACAGGACCTTGGTGATTGTCAGCCTGAGGGTAGGGAGGCCAGGCTTCCCAGGGCTGGGCATGCAGGTGGCCGCATGGGTCTTGTGGCTGCCCCTCCCCTCCTCTCCCACAGAGCAGTGAGTCAGTCACCCTCGACCTGCTGACCTACACGGACCTGGAGACCCTGCGAAACCGCAAGCTGGGCAGCCGCCCGGGCACCTTGGCCCCCAGGTCAGCCCAGCTCAACTCCAAGCGCTACCTGATCCTCATCTACTCTGTGGAGTTCGACAGGTGGGTGTAGGGGGCAGCTGGTGGGACAAAGCCCTGGTATCCAGATAATATGGGGGTATCATTTAAGAATCCTTTTGTAATTTCTGGGTAGGGGCTCATATCAGTTACTGTTGTGTTTTGCTACCACTAGCAGAGTAACTGCTACTAATGCTTTAAACAAATAGTTTATCACTTCACAAGGTGTCTTGGTAGGGAGCTGCCACAGTACTGTTGGAGACTCAGGCTTGTTCTTTTTATTTCTTTTTTTTGTGCTTACCGTGTTGAGGTGTTGACTTTCTGACTTCATGAAAACAGTTGCTGGAAGAAAATGGACAGGGTTGTTTTTATCAGGAAAACGAAAACATTCGCTGAAGACGCCGGACAGATTTCCCATAATATATGTTTGTTTATTTTTTTTTACCTTTGTTTGGAGACAGGGTCCCACTATGCAGTTCAGGCTGGCCGTGGGCTTACTTGTAGCCCAGGTTGGTCTTGAACTTGCAGTGATCCTCCTGCCTCAGCCTCCTTCACCCTCCCAAGTGCTGGGTTTAAAGGCATGCACCATTGTGCCCAGCTTTCCTACAATATTTGACCAGAAGTGGTCACATGCAAAGGATGCTGGGAAAATGAGTATCTAGCTTGCTATTCTCCCTTGGGAGGCAGCAAAGGGGAAAGGAGGGACATTGAGGGTGGCTCTGGAGTAACTGGGGACAGTGTCTGCCTTGTTTGTGGCCCTGCCTCTCTGAATGGCATCCAGGGGCACCTGTTGAAGGTGGCCTGCCTTTCCCTAGCCTAGGGCTGACCCCAGTCAGGCCAACCATAGCAGCCATGTGGAGTCTAGATTAGCATTGTGCTAGGCTGCAGGTCACATGAGGCCAGTGTCCACTCTGCCAATGTGTGTGACGGGAAGGTTACTCAAGTCAGTGCCAGGGTTGTCCCTGTGTCCTCGGAACTGCTGTGTAAAAAGCTCCCAGAGCTGAAGGACTGGTGCAGGGGGATGTGTGGGCAGGGACAGGGACCGAAACGGGAGTCAGAGCATTTTCACATTCTGTGGCTCTCAGAACCTGATTGTTGCCCTTGGGTGGTTTCTTGGCCTCTGAGATGCCTCAGTTCTAATCCCTCTCCTCAGGATTCACTACCCGCTGCCCCTCCCGTACCAGGGCAAGCCAGACCCTGTGGTCCTACAGGGCATCATCCGATCGCTGAAGGAGGAGCTGAGTCGCCTTCGCGGGCTAGATGTCCGGGATGCACGGGACACGCGGGATACGGAGATCTGGCACCTGCGGGAGCAGTGAGTCTGGCTGTCACAGGGCCGGCGGGGCACCCATCCTGTGCTTTGGGGATCATGTGTATTTGGGCCCATGGGAGGGCTGCTGTGGTCCTGCATTCACCCTAATTCTGAGCCTGCCTTTTACTGGGAGGGTCTAGCGATGCAGTGGTGACTGAGCCAGTCCTGGACTCCCAGATGCCAAGCCAGTGTGGGGGGACAGCTTTGGGCTGAGATCCCAGGGGGGTCCTGACTCTGCCTGTAAGGAAGGGAGCAACAAGCAGAGGGAACTGCATGTGGACAGTCGGGCTGGGCGGTCAGGCTGTGTCAGGTTTTAGTCCACCTTTGCCAGGTGCCTTTTTGACACTGGCCTCTCCTCCCTGTGAGTTCCTAGCCCAGCCTGGCACAGCTGGACATCAGTCGTTTAGCCTTCTGAACGTGTTATTGGAGACAGGTGGGGTGAGGCAGGAAGGGCGCTGCAGCAGGGGCGTGATGGCCCTGGGCTGTGTTAGGGGAAGAGCATTCTGGGTAGAGGGCAGCAGGTGCCAAGCCTGGACTAAGTGGGAATGCGGTGAGAGCAAGGGGAGTGAGTGGTGAAGGCGAAGGCTTTTGGGGTGAGCATTGGTACCTGCTGTGCACTGCCATCTCTGGAGGAGCTGCGTCGGGGGATGTTTTAGTAGTTATAGTAATAGTAGCAGCTAAGGTTTATTGAGTGTTTAATTGTGTGTCAGGGACCCTACTGCATGCTTTAGGGTTGAATTCATTTTAACCTCACAGATGCCTTACAAGGCAGGCACCGCTGTCACCCTCCTGTTACAGAAGCGCAGAGCAGTCAGGGAACTTTCCCCAGTCACAGTGAACATGGCCAGGCTCCACCTGACATCCAGCAGCCTGTGCCAAACTCCCTTGTGTCCCCAGCTGTTATGGACACTTGGTGGCCAAGTGCTGGCCTTCTCTCACAGGGCCGGGGGACCCTTGGCGGTGTACTGCTGGACCACAGAGGGAGGCCAAGGTAGGAAGCAGGAGAAGCTTCATTCTGTTTGTGCATCAGCCATTGACACGCGGGCTTGCACCTGTGCTTCCAAAAATGACTAGGCACCCTCTGCCCTTTAGACTCAACTGCAGAACTAGAGAGGGCGAGGAGATTCCACAACTGGTAGTGCCTTGTTATTTTCTCCTCTTCCCCACCTGGAGTTGGGGGGTTTGGGAAGACTGCGAAACTCACTCAGTCACCCCTTAATTCTTTAGTGCATTCATTTACATGACATTTATCGAGTTCACACAACGCCTGGCTCTAGCTGATGTGCAGTCTAAGCATTTTTCTTAGATTCCTACCACCTTACAGAGATCTTATCTTAGACAAAGAGATCCAAGTTCAAAGCTGTGAGGAGGAACTGCTCAGGGTCACCCGGCTTGTAATACTTGGGGTAGAATGCATGCCGGCAGCTTGGCCAGAGCTGAGGTGTCTGCGGGGTGGAGCAGACAGGGAGACGGCAGAGACTTCCAGGGGAGGGGAACCAGACAGCAGGCAGAGAGTCGCCCTGATAAATGTCAGCTGTATCAGACTGGTGCTAGGAAAGATACGGAGAGTTCAGCACGTCTCGCAGGCTGGCAGCCCTCCCGGGGCGAGTGGCGCCCTCTGTCCTGCAGCAGAATGGGGCTTGGGTTCTGTTAGGAGGCGCTGTGCTGGCGAAGGCCGGGCTTCAAGTTGGGGTGGGAGGTGGGAGGAGTGGTAGGGAGAAGCCACCATGCATGGGCCCATGGGAGAGCTCCTTGGGGAGCTGGGCAACCACAGAATGTTTTATTAGGAAAACTGTCAAGCACACGCAGAAGTAGATAGCAGTATAACACACACCCCCAGCCCTGGGTCACCCACATTTTGCCATCTTGTTTGATTACCTCTTCCCTTCTCCTTCGGGACATCATATGTTCTCTGTAAATGCTTCAGTGTGAATTTTTTATATATAGTATGAACCTAAAAAGAATACAACCACCATCCTCTAATCGCATTCGGCATCCAGTGCGCATGCTCACAAATGTCTTTTTTTTTTTTTTTTTGATCGAACTCACGACTACCTGCTTGCAAGGCAGGCGCTTATGCCGCTGAGCTAAATCCCCAGCCCCACAAATGTCTGTTTTGATTGGCTGGTTTGAAACAGAATTGGAATATGCCTGCCTGTTGCAATTTGCTACTGTGTTTCTTTTTTTTTTTTTTTCTTTCTTTCTTTTTTTTGTCTTTTTCTATTTTATCGGTACCAGGGATCAAACTCACGACTGCCTGCTTGCAAGGCAGGTGCTTATGCCGCTGAGCTAAATCCCCAGCCCCCGCTCCTGTGTTTCTTAAATCTTTCCCAATGCCTGTCTTGCTGCGAGCTAGCTGTGGGAGAGAGCAGGTTCTTTGTCCTGTAGTCTCCCAGTCTGGACTGCTGCCTTTCTCTCGATGGTGGTGGTGACTGTCTTTTTCTGTCCCTGTTACTTCCGGGGAAGTGATCGTTGAGATCCTAGGCTTTATCAGATTTGGAGCCAGGTTTTGGGGAGGCACCTTCCTGGCAGTGCTGGGTACTTCCTGCTGTCGGAGGTATTGACACTGGTGAGGGGAGCTCTTGAGAGAGGCCACCCTCTCTTACAGAGTCCCCTCAGCCTGCCACCTAGGGCAGCGGTTTACACATGCTGCCCATTTGCGTCACCCAGTATGCTTTGAAAGATCCCAGCTCTCAGGGTGCTCCCTGCAGGTTTATATCAGAAGCTCTGGGGAAGGAGGTTCCTGCCACCCATACCCAGTATTTTTCTTTACTTACTTTTCTTACTGTGAATGAAGTGTCACTCGCAATAAAGTATAAAATATAAATGTGCATGGCCAGGGATGTAGCTCAGTGGCACAGCATCTGCCTGGCAAGTGCAAGGTCCTGAGTTCGAGTCCCCATACCAAAAAAACCCCCATAAAATAGGCAGAGTCCCCTTTCCCTACTCTGATTCACACTCCTTAATAGATGACTTTGCCCTGCACTCTGCATCTTTAAACAGTGTAATTCAGTCGCAGCTCTTTGCACCTTTCTAAATGAGATTTAAAAAAGCAAAAGAATAACAACAACAAAGTGGAATTAAATACTGTGTTACTTTTTTGGGTCTGTGTTTTTTGGCCTGACATCTTTTTAAGATTCTTCTATGAAATTTTTTGTGTGGCAGTAGTTCATTCATTTTCATTGTTATTTTTTCAATGAATCAACCGACCACAATTTATCTGAACGTTGAATGGGTATTGTTAATTTCCAGTTTGGGGTCACTTTCTCTCACACACACGTACATGTGTTCACACATGAAAGCAAACACACAGCTTGCATCATAGGTGGATCCACAGGAGTGCAGCTATGACCTGTTCCCGTAGGCTTCACTAGATAATACCAAACCCAAATTGTTTTTTTAAAAATGGCTATAAGCCTTTATGGCATCGCTGTGATTTTTATTTGCAGTTCCTTATGGTTGAGGAGCTTTTCTTGTGGCTAGTAGTCATTTGTGCTCTTTGCCTATTTGTCTATCTTTTTCCATTTTTCTGCTGCTTCTGTTGATTTCCAGGAGTATGCATGTGTTTATTTATTTGCAGTACCAGGGGTTGAACCCAGGGAGCACTGAGCTACGTTCCTGGGCCTTTTTATTTTTCTGTTCTGAGCCATGGTCTTGGTAAGTTACCGAGGCAGTCCTTGAGTTTATGATCTCCCTGCCTCAGCCTTCCAGACAGCTGGGATTACAGGCTGCACCATGTGCCCGGCTGAGGAATTCTTTATATTCTGGATATGAACTCTTTGTTGGTTTTATGGTTCAGAAACCTCTTCCCACTCAGTAGCTGGCCTTTCCATTATCACACTATTTTGATGAACAAAGAGGTGCGTAATTTTTATGCAGGCTGATTTATAATTTTTTATAGAACAATCTCGAGACAGCTGGCATCTTTATAAATAGCAACCCAATCTATGAACAGAGTATAGATCTACATTTACTCAGATTTTATTTAGGGCCTCAATGAGATTCTGTCATACTTTTTTTTTTTTTTTTGTGATGGTACTGAAGATTGAGACCAGGAGCGTCACGCTGAGCTACATCTCCCAGCCTGTTTTTAGTTTTCATTTTGTAGGAGGGTCTCACTAAGTTACTAAGTTGCTGGATTCGAACCTCCTGACAGCCTCCCAGAGTGCTGGGAGAATTACAGGTGTGTACCACCACACCTGGCTTCTTCTGTCATACTTTTTGTTAGATTCCCTTGAATATTTGGAGGCTTTTGTTCATAAGTATGAATCATAAGTATGGATGGTGAATATTTTGGAGCTTTAAGTGATAACAAACAGCCCACTGTGGCACATATCCTGTAGGGTCCCCATCACTGGTGTAGCTCATAATAACGTTTGTATAACTGATACATATTGATTTTTGTATATAGTTACTTCAGTCAGCCTTATTCCTTTTTTTAAACTTTATTTCTACAAGCTTATCTGTAGACCCTGTTTTGATTTGTTTTGTGTTTATAATCATTTTATTTGCAAATGACCATTTCATTAATTCTTTCTTATCCTTACCTTTCACTTACTTTTCCTGCCGCATCATGCTGACTGGCTGGGACCTGCAATGCCGTGTGAGGACAGAAGAAGTAGTGACCGCTGGTGTTCTTGTCTCATTCTTGATGGCACACTCAATATTTTGCCAAAAATTTTGTTCATACAAATATTTTTTCTTCCGGATTTTACTTTTTAGACAAAGTGAGAGAAAGTGAATTAATTTGCTCTTGACAGCCCATGAGGTCCACTGGCTACACTGGTATTTCAGGAGGGGCCAGTAAATTGTGATGATCTAATCCTATAATTCTTTCCACTTTGTTGGCTGGAACTTTTCAGTGAAAGCATTCTCTTCTTAAGCATTTGGTTTCCCTCAGGTGCATTCACACAGAAAAGGTGTGGTTAATGCTAGAGCGCACTCTCTGTCTGTCTGTCTGTCTGTCTGTCTGTCTCTCTATTTGTGCTACTGGCAGGCTGGGGATTTAGCTCAGCGGCATAAGCGCCTGCCTTGAAAGCAGGCAGTCGTGAGTTCAATCCCTGGTACCCATAAAAATGAAAAAAAACCAAAAACAAACAAACAATCAAATATTTGTGCTACTGGAGACTAAAGCCACAGAGTGCTGACCTCCACCCCCAGCCCTATTTATTTATGTATTTTCTTATGTACAGGAGCTCAAACCTAGAAGCACTCTACTACTTAGCTACATCTCAGCCCTTTTTGAATTTTGAGATAAATTTTTGCTAAGTTGACTAGGTTGGCTTTGAACTTGTGATCCTTCTCCCTCTTTTGATGGACTGAAAATTGAACCCAAGGCCTTTGTACTATGCTACATCCCCAGTGGGATGAGACAGAGTCCTGCTGAGTCACTAAATTGCTCACACTGGGTTTGAATTTCTGATCTTCCTGCCTCAGTCTCCCACATAGCTGGGATTAAAGGCCTGTGGCACCATACTAGGTTTAACATTTTTTTTTTTAATCTAATGTTGGTCAGAAAAATGAATTGGTTCTCTCTTACTTTACATGGAAATGATTTTTTAAATTTTTAAATTAATTAGTTTTTTTTGGTCATTTTAAGACAGAATCTCACTATGCATTTCAGGTGCTCACTTTGTAGTCCAGGCTGGTCTAGGACTCCCAGTGATCCTCCTGCTTCAGCTTCCTGGGGGCTGGGATTATAAGCATGCACCACCATGCCCGGCTGATTTTTGTTTTTAGAATCTTTACAAACTCATACATTTTAACTTGGTTGATTGAGTGCTGCTTTGCTATGCCTTCTGTAACGAAGCACCATCAAAACTGGGAGTTTAGAACAGAAGTGACTTCCCAGCCAGCTATCTGAAGTCACTTTCACTGAGCTGAGATCAGGACATCAGTTGGGCTCACACCCAAACTCTTAGCACAGTATTTTTTGCCTCCTTTGGCTCCAGTATGTGTGTGTGTGTGTGTGTGTACACACCTGTGCTGACTTTCCTTTGGTGTGTGACTGTATCTCTCCAGTCTGTGCTCCTTGGTCATACTCCTTCAACCCTTCTATGTTCTAATTTCCCAGCCTTACCAGGGTACTTGAGATTATATTTAGAATCCTCTGATAACTCAGGATAATCATGTGAAGATCCTTAACTTGTCAGATCTGTGAAGTGCCTTTGTACCATCAGGGTCGTATGCACTGTCAGATCTCCTCGGGCTGGGTCAAGAGCTGTTAGTCTTGTCACGGAGAATCACTTTACTCTAGTTACTCTTTTTGGGTTGTGATCTTGGATGTGGCCTGTAGGAACTCTTCCTGTTGGCTCCTATGTGCTTTTGACTCCAGAAGTCTTTGATGGCTTCCTTGCTTTCTGGAATTTCAAGATCTCCAACTTTTTTGGTGCCCTTCTAAACCTGAGAACGGATATAACTAATTTTTCCAAGAAGTTCTTGTTTCTCTTACAGGAAGTGGTGTTTAGCATGGTGTGGTCATTGGGGTGCTGTTGTGAGGGGGTCCACACTGAAGTTAGGACTTTTTAGTGGAAAGAGTCAGGAAATATATCTTTAACGAGAAAAATGAAGTCTGTGTTTACTTAACCTCCTTAATTATAGTTGCATCTTATGCCGAAAATCTGTCTCCAGGGATAGAGACATAATTATTTGCTTCATCCTAAATATAGTCACGAAGTGTAAGAGTTGTGAAAGGGCAGGCATGGTGGTGCATGCCTGTGATCCCAGCACTGTGGGTAGGCTGAGTCAGAAAGATCACTGAATTCAAGGCCAGTCTTAGCTACAAAGCAAGACCCTGTCTCAAAAAGTCTTCTTTGTAGATCCCCCCCCCCTTTTCTTTAGGCCATTATCTTATTTGCTAAAATAATGTTTTAGTTACCTCATGTAATTCTCTGGTGTTACACCAACTCTGATGTGCAGTTGGGTCTTTTTGAGCCAGTTTTAAAAGCGTTACCGGGCGTGGTGGTAGACCAGCTACTTAGGCTGAAGCAGAAGGATCGCCTGACTCCAGAAGTTGGAGGCCAGCCTGGGAGAAGATGGAGGAGATGACAGTGTCCTACTCTGTCTAGCCTGGTCTGTGTCTCTCCCCTGCAGAGTGTCCCGCCTGGCATCCGAGAAGCGAGAACTGGAGGTACAGCTGGGCCGCTCACGGGAGGAGGCGCTGGCAGGCCGGGCAGCGCGCCAGGAGGCCGAGCAGCTGCGCGGGCTGGTGCGCAGCCTGGAGCTGGAGCTGCGGCAGGAGCGCGGCCTCGGACACAGGGCGCCCGCCCGCCGGGGCCAGGACTGCCGTCGCCTGGCCAAGGAGGTGAGGGGCGGTGCAGCCGGCGGGGCAGAGCTAGAAGAGGCCTCAGCCAGGGTCTGGACCCCTGCACCCTGTCTTCCTCCGCACAGCTTGAGGAAGTGAAGGCGTCGGAGCGCAGCCTGCGAGCCCGGCTGAAGACGCTGACCAGCGAGCTGGCCTTGTACAAAAGGGGGTGAGGGGCGCGGCCAGGGTTGGGCGGGGCCTCGAAGCCTCCACCCGGGGCTGCAGGTGTGTTTGGGCTGGTGGGCGGGGCCGGGGGAGGGGCGGAGTTGGAGGGAAACGGGCCGGTCTGGATTATGGAGTGGGCGGGGCCTGTTGTGGGTGGGCGGGGCCTGGTGAACCTTGTGGGCGTTGAGAGATTGGGAGGCTTGCTTGGCGGTGGATCCGGCTGGGAGACGCGGGAGGGGCGGGGCCGGCGGGATCTGGCGACCTCTCCTGGAATTAACTGTGGATGGCGGGAAGTTGGGCAGGTCCCGAGTGGGATGTGGGAGACCTTGGGGAGAAGAGCCTGGAGAAGGCGGTGTGTTAGCTTGCTGGGCTTTGGCAGAGTTGTGGAGAGGGACCGATCTTTGGGGCTCCGTGAGAGGCGGGTGTGGGGAGGTGACTGGCGGCGCGCGTGTCCGAGGTGACGCGGCCGGGCCTGCGGTGCGTCCGGGACAGGGCTGGGCTCTGTCCTGGCTGCGGGAGCTGACCGGGTCCTGTGCTCGCAGGAGGCCTACTCCGCCGGCGGGGCTGCCCGCGGCCCGGCAGGACCGGGCTTCGTCGTCGCGCGAGCGCTCCACATCGCGGGGCCGCGGGGCCGCCCGCTCCTCCTCGCGCGAGAGCGGCCGCGGGGCCCGGGGTCGGGGCCGGGCCGCCCGCCCCTCGCCGTCGCCCCCAGGTCTGCGCCCCGCCCCTGGTAGGGGAGGCGGAGGTCACGGGGTGTTGGGGGAGCGGGCCGTAACTCCCAGCCTCGCCGCCCCCTCCTCCCCGCTGTGTCCTAGGTGGGCGCGCGCCGCGCTTCGACCCCACGGCCTTCGTGAAAGCCAAGGAAAAGAAGCAGAAGGAGATCAGGATGAAGTTAGCATGCCTTTCCTCTCCACTGCCCTCATCCCTGCTCGTGTCCTGGCTGCCACCACCCTGCGCCTCCCAGCCGCCCACCCCCCCTCCATCCCGCGTGTCTCCTGAGCCTGTCCCCTCTCCTGACCGCTCACCTGTGTTGCTTGCTTGTTTCTCCTACTTTCACCGGGTTTGCGTCGCCGCCTGCTTTCTCCCCTCCTATGCCATGTGGCAGGGTCACCGGCCCTGGCTGTGACTGGGGGGGGGAGGCACGGCAGCACCCTTCCCCTCAAGATTTGGACGCAAAGCGTAAGTTTCTTGCCGTTTTTCAGGCAGCAGCAGCAGCGGAACCGATTGGGTAGTGGAGGAAGCGGGGACGGTCCGTCCGTCTCGTGGTCTCGCCAGGCCCGGCCTCCCGCTGCTGTGACCAGCCGAGGGGACACAGCCAACCGCTCTCGACACCGCAGCTCCTCTGGTCAGTGGCCAGGAGCTGGAGGTGGGGGTTGGGGAGTGGAGGACGAGGACTAGCTGGGCGGACCCGGCCCGCGAGCCTCCAGGCTCAGGTCCTCGTCTCCCCCTAGTGGACAGTTTCCGCAGCCGCTGCTCCTCGGTCAGCTCCTGCAGCGAGTTTGAGGATTTCACCGAGTCGCGCTCCAGAGGGTAAAGCGTGGTACCTGAGAAGGACCATTTCCAAAGGGTGTCTGGGGAGACTGCACACAGCCTTTTGCAGGGAGAATGGGTGATGGAGGCGGGGGAGTGGAAACCACCGCAGTGGGCCACGTTGGAAGTGCCGAAGTCCAGCCCACCACTGGTCCTCATGTTATCCTTTCTTTCAGCCTTCGCTGTCACCGCCGTGGAAAGCCACCCAGCCCCACACCTTGGAGTGGGTCTAATACAGTAAGTGTCTTTGCCAGGCCTCAGAGGAGGGAAGGTACCCTTTAGACACTGACAGCTAGCTGTCTCCATTTCCCATGATTCCGTCCTGGGGCTCAGGTTACAGAAGTGACTGAGATGCTTCTGGGAACAGGGTGTTGTTTTAGGACCACGTGATTGATGGGAAGAATAGTTGGGTACATAAGATACTGTAAGTTTCTGGCCTCGAGTTACCAGATCTTCAAACCTGGCTGCCGCTTCCACCTGTATGACTGGAAGTGTTTAGTCTCTCTATGGCCAGGTTGCATTACCAGTTAACCTGGGAAGGTACCGAATGGCATCACCTTGGAGGGCCCTTGTGATGGATGACACAAAGTAGTTTTGATGTAGTGAGTGCCCAGTAGGTGTCAGCCCTATTTTCTCTGAGGTCCTGGGGTTCAGAATTTCCAGTGGCATTTGTGGGGCAAGGGGAGAGAGATGGAGAGTGCCTAACCGCCTTTCCTGCCTCCCTGATCACCAGAAGTCTACCCCTCGGGAATGCAGTAATCAGAGACGCCTCACTGGTTCAGGAGGCTGGGTCCCCATCAGAGGTGAGCCTGGGGCCCCTGCTGGGATGGTAATGAAGGCAGTGTACTGGCTTGAAGCTTCTGTGGCTTCAGCCTCTTCATAGCCCCCTATATTCACACCTGTCCTCGCAGAATACAGCTCGGACCACCAGGCAGTTGACATGGCTGAAATAGATGCCCGCCTGAAGGCCTTGCAGGAATACATGAACCGGCTGGACACTCAGTCATGACCATGGAGAGCTGGCACTGCCTCTCCACCCCTGCCCACCAGTGGGTATGGCATAGGGAAGGGCCAGGACCAGGGCTGCCTTCCAGCCTCACCTAAACCCCGCCCCTCCAGGGGTCTCAGGTGTGTGAGGCCTTAACCCTGCCCTCTCTCCAGGCAGTGGGAGGGAGGGTGTGTACATTTTGTAAATAAACATGTTTGTCCTAGGGACCCCTTAGCATATGACTGAAGGGTGAGGTGGTGTGGGGAGACTGGGAGTTGTGGGTATTTCTGGCCATGTCTATGATGGGAGGCAGATAGGAATTCAGACTCAGGAAAAGCTTCCAGGCTGTAACGCATTGCTAGAAGGGAGGTGAGGGGTGGTAGTGAGCAGCCCGTCTCCAAAGGAGTCCAAGCAAAATTCTGCGCAGGATGTCTTTGTGTGCTGGAGAAGGAGTATTCTGCTGCATGGCCCACTGCCTGAGAAAACCCCCAAGCTTCTGTTGGTGACATCTGAATGTGCTTGGTGCTGATTCCTGGGCTCTGACCTGAGACCTCTGGGTTCTGAGCTGTGATATTGTTCCTGAGCTGGGATCTCCGGGGTCTTGGTTCAGGGTCGGGGCCTCTGGGTTCTGAGCACCAGTGAGGACAGAGCACTGGGAGGAGGGGGAAATACAGCGGGACCCGCTTGGGAACACAGTTGGAGTTGCGTCTTTATTGGAGGAAGTGGGAAGGGAGTAGCAGCAGTGCTTCTGGCTGAGGGAGGGGAGGAGGATGGGCAGCAAGCAAGGCTTCAGTCCTGGTAGTGTGGCCAAGTCTGGATGATTTGGTAGAGCTGGTCACCTGGAGAGAGCGTCTGCACCACATCCCGGTGTCCTTTGAGCTCATAGTTGGATTTCAAGGCTCTCTGAGCCACACCACAAGTTAGCAGATTCTGGGCTGCCTGGATGGCCCGTTTTGGGGGCGCCCGATCTGCAGGGACAGATGCAGAAGTTAGACTGGTGCTCCCTCAAAAGGGCAGAGTTATTCGGGGCTAGGGGTTTGTTGCTCTGAGCTGGTTTTATTTGCTCTGTGCCTCAGTTTCCTCATCCCAGTAGGGATATGGGAAGGTAAATGGTTACTTTATGTAAAACCCACAGAAGAGTGTCTGGCTCGGGGAGGGCCGCCCTTATTGAATAATGGTTACTGCAAGGATGACGGCTTGTTCTCCCCCTTTGCAACTGGACTTCTGCCCTGCCCACAGAGCCAACATCTATTAAATACTTCCCAGGTGCCCTGGGCTGGCTTGAAGATTTTGTATGGATCATCCAATCCTCACTCCACCATGTGGATGCAAATGGTTTCATGATTGGAAGAGGAAGTGAGGCTCGGGAAATGCAGTGGTCTGAGGTCACAGAGCTCAGGCAGACCTGTGCCCACACAAGCTGCTGTGCCAGACCCCAGCCCCATGCCACCCTCCTGGCTGTCACTCACTCATGTAGTTGCCCATGAAGGCAATGCCAATGGATCTGGAGTTCCAGTTGGGACCCGAGTGGGCGCCCTTGGTGTTCCAGCCTCGACCCTCATAGACATGTCCATCTTCTCCGACCAGGAAGCTGCATGGGAGGTTCAGGGGTTTGAGTGAGGGAAGGTTTCCGGGGAGCAGTACCTCACCCCTCTTCCTGTCACAGTAGTTTCCCCAACGTCACCCTCGCCCCTTCACTTTCTATCGTAGTAACAATCATGGCCATTTATCAAGCCTCATGCCCTATGCTGAGCACAGCTCTGTAGGTACCTCATTCTCTGCAAGGCAACTCTGTAAGCCACTACAGAGACAGAGGGCTGGGGTCATCTGCCCACCCTCACCCAGCGCAGCTCTCCCACATGGTCATAGTCCTTCCTCTCCTCTGCCTCCCTGGAAGACTGGTTGAGCTCTTGCTTTGCCACATAAGCTCTGAGGTAGGTACTTGGTTTCCTCTTGTCCATACTGAGGAACAGAGGCTCGGAAAGCCCCATTATTTGTGCAAGATTATACCCTTCAGAACTCTGCCCTTCCCCCACCCTGCCTCTGGCAGAATTAGGGGCTCAAAGATTGAGGTCACATGTGCCTCTGGAGACTTCCATCTTGGCAGAATCAGGCTCATTCAGTGCATCTTGACTGAGTCTCCCTGGGCATCTGGACATGATTTAGGTTGGCACCTTGAAGCTGCACTGTCTGCAGACTCACAGGGTCACTAATGACACCTGGAGTGTTGGGATTCCCCAATCCAAGTCCTGGCTCTGCCACTTGGAGCCAGCTCACAGAATCTGCCTCTGAGGAGACAAGAGTGACTCCAGTGGTGCTGGTTACTGGATCTGGGCAGGTGATGGCTCTGTGGGCACCTGGCCCTGGAACTCTGTAGATTCATTGTCTGGATATATCAAACATAAATCTCAGGCGCCATTGCCAGGTGAGTGCAATCAAGAGCCTCATTTACAGGTGAGGGAACTGAGGCGTGGAGAGAGAATGTGATAGGACAAGGGAGGGATGCTGAGACGTCAGATACTGAACCCTGAAATCTGGGAAGTAGATACCTCCTTTCCCGTAGGCCATTCAGACCAGTGGTTGCAGGTCCAGGGGCAATAGTTAAGGTGGAGGGCATCTGACCCTAGGAAATAGTGCCTGGAAGCTGGAGCCTTTGAGTGATGCAACCTGGAGTAGAGGAACTGAGGATACCCTGGCAGCCTCTAGGCTTCTCTGGGATCTGCTGGTGCGATCTCCTAGTAGGGCCTAGAGAGCTGCATTTCCAGTAAGCTCCGCAGGTGCTTTAGATGTTCGCTTTGTCCTGAGTGAGACCCTGTAGCGTTCAGATGACCCCCTCTGTGGAAGCGCTTGTATGGACTGCAGCCTGGTACTGCAGTGAGCACAGCCCCTGAGTCTGAGCCAACCAGCCTCAGGCTCTGTGTCTGCCCTCAGGCCTACTGCAGCCTATGGTCGCCACAGGAAGCATCTTCTGCCTTAGTCAGTGCATTCCTGTGTGCTGCTCAGAACCTTCCATGGCTCCCATCTTACTCAGAGTGAAAACCAAAGTCCTCACTGTGGCTAACAAGGTCCTACCCAGTCTGTCCCCTGCTGGCCTTTTCCTCACTCTGTACCCCCACCCCCACCTCACCCCACCTTACATCCACAGCTTTCTCTTTTGGATGAGAGCTGCACCCCTGGCCTCAGGGCATTTGCACCTGTGCCCCTGCTCATTGCAGCATTCTTCAGCTCCCTGGGTTCAGTGCTACCTCCAAGCATTCAGGGAGGCCTTTCCTCTCAGCCCTCTGAAGAAGCCATGGCAGATCTGGCTCTGGTTTCTGAGCTCACCACTGCTCTGTTCCACTTCCATCAGTGCCAGAGACTGTTGTGTTTCCTGTTTTGTTTTAAATCACACAGGAATAGAGTCACACTGTTCCCTGCTATTTGTTCATTCTAGTGCCCTGCACCCTGCCTGGTGACCCCAGAGGTTGAGCTGTCCCGCATGTTAGCCTCACAAGTCTACCTGGGCTCCTGGTACCTCTGTCCCCTCCTGTCTCATCCCGAGGCCGCCTGGTCTCTCCACACTCACTTGTAGCTCACGTCGCACCAGCCCTTCGTGCGCACGTGGTAGTGCTGCACGTTCCGGACCTGCTGTTCGCAGGAGGCTGGGGAGTCGCAGGTGCTGCCCGCCGTGTGCGCTATGATCACGTAGCGCGCGGGCAGGGGCACGCGCTCGGTGCATGAGGAAGCCAGGCCATTCCACTCCCTCCGAGGCACCACGAAGTCGCAGCTCTTCTGGCCTCCGGCTTTTTGCGCCACGCCGAGGAGGGTGAGGAGGGTCCAAGCGAACAGCACGGAGTGGCGGGACATGGTGAGGAGGGCCCTCAGAGATAGCTAGAACGCAGCCCTGCTGGGCGCCTTTATCTGCTGGGGCAGTGTGAGTGTGTGTAGGGGGAGCGCTTGCTTCCTGCCAGGCGGGACCCTGGGCGGGGCACACTGGACCCTAGCCCCCGCTTCCTTCTCTGGCAGGGCCGGAACTGGGTGTGGAGTTGTCTGATCCGATTGGGGGCAGGCGGGGAGGGGCGCACGGGCCTTGGGGCACTTCTTTCTGTGGTTTCAGGAAGCATAAGGGTCTGGACCGATGCCCTGCTTTGTGTCTCCCTCAGTGGGGCATTGGATAATTTACCTGGAACTTGCACCAGAGGAGAGGCCCAGGGCCTTGGCACATTTCTTCCTTCCTGCAGGGATGAGGTAACAAAGGTTCTCATTTTTGAAACAATCCCCTGGCCCCAAGGCTGATGACATTTAACTCTTGCAGAAAGCCAAAGAGGTGAGTATTGATAAGCTCACTTCCCAAGTGAGCAAAACACGATTGGGAGAACAGAAGTCACCTACTGAGACCTGGCAGGTGGGGAAACCTGGCGGTCCAGAGTCGCCCATTGAGAGCCAGGATGCCTGGCACACAGCACCACGTCCCTGGGTGTCACAGGGACTCAGACTCCGTCTGTCCTCAGGGGCAGCGTGCTTTGCGTGGGGGCCGCTGGCAGCTCCATTTCAGAGAGGATCTGAGTTCAGAGAGACACGGCCAGTTGTGCTGGGCCAAGGTTTTAGACCTCCTGCTGTGAAGGCTTTCATAGGACTTCTGTCCTGCCCTGGTCCTTTCCCACAGCTTCCTGAGCCTGTGAGGGATTCCTGGTCAGCGTCTGGCTTCCTCTCCTCTTCCTACTTTAATGAATCTTTTAAAAGTTACAAAGGTAACAAACAGGGCTGTAAACAGCTGAACTGTTCTAAAGTGGGAAGGGTGACGGGTGTAGTATGATTTCGTCCTGGATATCTTCCACACTCATGTAGATTATGCTCACATATAGGTGACACACGAGCAACTCTAAGCACTGTGCAGAAATTGTCATGCGCTCACAAGAGGTCTCTGAGGTGCCTGTTATTTTTAACATCTTTTCTAGTCAGGGAAACTGAGGCTCTGAGGGGTTATCATGCACAAGGAGATAGCGAAGGGAGGGCTTGGATTTAAACATATTCCATTTTCTGCAAACTTATCCAAGGCACTTTAAAGAAACAGCAGAATTAAACCCATGCTCATCAGTTTATCTTTTGTCACTTAATAATTTGTATACATTTTTCCAGGACACTACAGCTAATTTTTATGTGTCATAAAAGTTGCACATATTTCATGATACGGGGTCAGCACTGTTGATGTACTCTGTTGTTGTTATTATTTTTGGAAGGCTTAGCAGTTTTCTTTCCCCATGCTACACAGACACACATCCCTCTGCCCTGGGGCCATCTATACCTTATGAATATGGGCATGCTAGGTCAAAAAGTATTCCTATCTGAGAGATACCACTAGATTGCTCTCCCTGCAAAGCTAACAATTCTTGCTTTCTACCAGCACAGTGTTGGAGTCTCCTCGCCCTGCCCAGATGTAAATGCCATTACTTCTTATGTTTATCAGTGTGATATCTCTTGCAACTTTTAACTGGCATTCTTATGATCATTGAGGAGACTGATTTGTTTGCTGCCCACTTGAGTTTATTCCTCTGTCAATTACTGTTCATTTACCAGTCATAAAATGTTTTTGTTATCAATTTGCAAAATGGAGAACCCCTAAGGAGGATTATCGAGACGTTGGGTATGTTTTGTGCATCTCCGTTCTTTTTAGAGGCAGTAAAGAATAATGTACCCATAGAAAAGTACACAAGTGAGCTTTCTGTACAATTAATAGAATACACAGTTCAGTTAATCTTCACAGAGTGAATGCCCTCACATATCCAGCGCCCAAATGAAGAGTAGACCTTCACTTAAATATTGCCAAACATTTCAAAACGATTTTGTATTTATTTTATGCAACAGCATAACCAGTTTTGTTTTACCAATCCATGAAATGATACCTCACTATTGTTTATTTGCATTTTCTTCAACGTTACAGAGGTATTTTGTCTTTTAAGCATGTTTATGGTTGTTTGCATCCAAGTTTTATGAACTATCTGTTCATCTCTTTTAATCATCTTCCTTCTGGGTTGTTATATATGGGGAGACAGTAACCCTGGGTCTGTCAAATGTGCTGTAGAAAATTTTCTTCAATCTGTTTTCTTATTTTATGGTTTCTGTATGTCCTGCCCTGTCTGGTTATTAAGAGGACCTTTTCATGCTGAGATTATAAAAATTTGCTATTGGAAAAAATACTGTTACTTTGTGTTTTACTGTCAGCCTTTAGAACTTTGCTTCCAATGGGCTATTAGTTTCCCCTCAGAATTGTTTATTATACCGTTAGGCCTGGTTTCAAATTCAGGATCCTCACCTGTTAGGTGGGTGACCTTGGGCAGCATTGGACATGAATGACCACTTCCTTGAAATGTTCACTTTCCTTAGGTTCTGTGACCTAAGATTTGATTTTCCTTCTGTTTCTCTGATTCCTTTTTTCCCTCCTGGACCATCATTACATTCATTCATTTGTGCACTCAGCATTGTTGGGATGTACCCAGGGCCTCACACTGACCCAACACTCCCAGCCCTTTTTATTTTGAGACAAAATCTTGCTAAACTGTCCAGGCATAGGCCAGGGATTTAGCTCAGCGGCATAAGCACCTGCCCGGCAAGCAGGAGGTCAGAGTTTCATCCCCGGTACCTATATTAAATAAATAAATAGTCCAGGCTGGCCTTGAACTTGTGATCCCCCTGCCTCAAGCTTCCAGAGTGCTGGGATTGTATTCCCATTGTTGCATCTGGGAGATAAGCACTGCTGCTGTGTTGTTCAAGCAGCCCACTGGGACATTGTAAGTCAGCCCCAGTAAAAACTTAGAGGGACAAAGTTTGAGGAAAGGAAGATACTTTGTAAAGAGGAAAAAGAAGGGCAGAAAGAAGACAGATAGCTACCTGATAAAAAAAAAAGACAATGGGGGCTCCAGAAAGGTGGGGGACCCATGGACCCTTTGTTCCCAGCTGCTTTTATGGGCGGGGTGTGAGTGCCCCTGCCACACAGAACTTCCCATAACTGGCTTGGCTTCTGGGCCCTTCTGCCTAGCGTCCTTTCTTCTGGCTGTCTGCGTACAGCTCACTTCCGCCTGTTTCCTTGTCCTTGAAGAACCGCTAAGGGCTTCTCTTTGGGGGTGGGTGGCTAGATGCCTTACTTTGGTTAGCTTAGAGTTAGTGAGGGGGCCTGTGGAGAGCTATTTTAGTCTATAGTGACCCTAAAGTGAATCATGTGGTGAGTCTAGAGTGAGCACACGCGTGTGTCTGTTAGTGCACAGGTGTGAGCACACGCTGCCTTAAAGTTAGCCCGGCCTCCTGTGTTTTCCCTCTATTTTATTGCAGGTGGGGGCTGCTTATCATTTGTGCACCTGGCCTTCTTTCTGTGTCCTGCCTGTCAGCTGTTTCTTTGGTCTCTTTGTGCAAGTGCCAAGGCCATTGGCACCTTCCTTTGTTTTCTTTTGTTTTCTTCAGTATTGGGGATCGAAACTCATGACATTGAGCCTGCCAGACAGACGCTGTGTCACTGAGCTATATTCCTGGTCCAAAGAAATCTTTTTTGGGGGGAGGGTACTGGGAATCTGGGTATCTTTGTCTACCCCCTGTGCATGACTTATTCCCAGGAGAATGCTTCCAATAAAGTTGGTTTTTAACTATTTCTAATCAGGACTGGGTAGAAGACACAATGCTTACAGATTCCTCCTCCCCGATGTCCATCCCACTGCTACTGGGAAGTAAGCAACACAGGATTGGGCTTCTTCAAACAGTGGGGTCACTGATAGGGGGCAGCAGATGAAAGTCTTTGAAGAAAGGGGCTGCATGATGGGCCTTGAGAAAAAGAGTCTGGCACTTTTCTCCTCTGTCTCATCTGTGTGATCACTGGGAGTTTGTCAGCCTCCTGGCGAGAATAATCAAACTTTTAACAGGCGGTTAAAGTGTGGGTCACCAAAATGTGAGCCCTAGAATGGAAAGGCAGATTGGGGAAGGAGCCACATCCAGACATCCAATGGGAAGTGCAATTTTAACCAGCAGGCTGTTAGACCTGCCTACAGCTGTGCCTGTAACTCTCAGCAGGTGCCAGTGATGAGAGCCCCTTTTTGGTGTTTTGTGTGTATCACAAAGATTTAAGAGATCTTTGGTTACACTTTTTTGCTGGGTGTCAAAGACCAAGTTAAACTGAGACCTATGTTAATCAAAATTAACCTCTTGCTATCATGATCAAGTTGAGGGCCATTCTTTTTGGAACCATGTCTCCTCTGTCAGTGTCAGCTGTCACAGTCAGGGTCTTGTGTGACCTTGTTTGGCTTCCCTTTGAAACTTAGAGACTTTTTTCTGGTGACTCTCCTTTTTAGCACCTCATATATCGGTTGACTCTTGTCTTCTGGGGTCCAACAGTCTCCCTCTTGTCCTGGGTCTTTGGAGGGTGAGAACAAAAATTGGCTATCATCTTAGTCCATCACTTTATTTAATTTTGGTCTCCAAACCTTGGTTATTGAACACTCAGGAGATGAGTTATTTTATCTAGATATCAAGCGCCCTAAGAGATATAACCAGGGCTGGCCCTGAATCAAGGCTGGCAGCTTCGTGATGCTGTTGGTTTCAAGCAGGAGCTTAAAGAGATGTCTTTACCATAAAAAGCCATTTCAGAACTTGGGCAGTGAAATGTTCATTTCATTAGAAAGAAACAGCTTAAAGCAACCTCCCTCTCCCCTGTGAGCAGCTGTGAGTGTGGCAGGCTCTGGCAGCCCAGGATGGGAGCTACCTGTGTTTACTGGGACCTGCGCCATGCTGAGACCTGGAGCACCAGGAAACCAAGCAACCCCTTTCCCCCTGCCTGTTTTGTTTTGTTGAACTTCAATATACATGAAAGTATGGACAGCTATTTTGAAGAGAACAAGAGACTCCAAAACAGCCATTAGTGACTTCCCTGTTGTCTGGTTTTGAAGAACTAAAATGCCTTCCTCATTCTGTTCAGGTCAGTTTTATACTATGTTGTTTTGTATGAATTCTCTGTTTGCAAAGACATGGACAACTATTTGGAAGAAAACAAGAGACAATATGATAGTGAAGATCTCAGGTCGTCTAGCTTTGAAATTTATATCTCTTACATTGCTTTCTTATATCCTATTTTGTTCTGTTTTGTTGTGTTTAATTTTATCCCCTTTAACATAAAAATTAAACACAACAAAACAAAACACATAGGCCTGTTTTTAGTCACTTCCTATGTAAAATAAATTTCTCTTTTTATAATCTTGCTCTGAGGGTTTTTCTGTCTATACTTAATAAAAGAAGGCTTCTCTATAGGTAACAAAATTAATTGTGCCACATAGTCTCTCTGTTCAAAAACCCAGAGATCCATAGTATATGCAAGAACTTGTATCTCATCCTGACAATCACTATCAATCACACGAGGCACAACAGTTATTCCTTTTAAATTTAGATCAGCCTTTCCCAGCACAAGACCAACTGTTCCTTCAGCTGGGGGGGACCCTAAATTCCTGTGGGAATTGAGGTGGGCTGGTCACCTCCAATGAGAGTGACTCTGCAAGCTGCAGGAAGATCTGATCATGCACTTTGAATGGTTTCCTTGGTGAGTGAATTAACGTCTCTCCAGGGAGCCACCTCTGATGCTGTTCTTGAATTTGCTGTCCAGTTCGCATTGGGTGAAGTTGACTGACATTTTGATTCACAGGCCGAGCCTCCTCTATTGTTTTGCTGACCTAAGGAAAGGCCCTCATCTTGTGTTTTGGCAAAGATGTACCATCCTTATGGAATTTCGAATGATAATATTTAGCCCAATGCCTCTCTTTTTGGCATCTTGGGCAGAGTCCAGGCGTGGAACTTGAGTCCTGCTCACCAGAGGCACTTTTCTCTTGCTGTGCTGCACCTGCAGCATCTGTCCTATTAGATCTAACAAAGAACTCTGCAATTTTTTCTAGTATGTCTCATTTTCCACAGTTAAACATTTCACATTATTCTTTTTTGCATTTGCATCAGCCATAACCTGAGCCATCATATTTGTCTTATAGGACTCAGTTCCAATGTCCTGACATGCTTGAAAATATGTTTACATGTCATTAAATCATTAGTTGACTTTACAGGATTTAAAGCCTGTTTGCAATCCCAATTAGCATTTTCATATGCTGATTGTAGAGTTAAAATGTTTGCAGCTTCTGTGTTTCATGCCTGTCTGCAAATGGCTTCTTGTAATTTTGCCGTTCCTGGGGTCCTTGTAGAATATGTAAAAAGGACATCACTAGAGCCCTATCCTCTGGAATACTTATCCGTGCTTTTTATTTTACTAATCCTGCCAACTGTGGAAATAACTCTTCAGGACATGGAATCTGTTCCTCAAGTGTTACATATATTCCTGTCCCAGAAGGCATTTCCTCATTTATTGCTGGACATGAATTGGGACCCGTCCTGTTTTTTTTTTTTTTTTTCATTTTTATCAGTACCGGAGATCGAACTCACAACTGACTGCTTGCAAGGCAGGTGCTTATGCCGCTGAGCTAAATCCCCAGCCCCCGACCCGTCCTGTTTTTATGAGCCTGCTCAAAAACAAAGAGTTTTCAGCTTTACATCAAAATGAAGGAATTGAGCAGGAGACAGGCATGACATATCATAAGGTATCAATTGATATGTATCCAAAACATTTTGCAAGAGTCCCACAGTAAATGGACTTTGGACTTCATTGTTAACCACAGCTTAAGATTTTTTAGCAGTTGTATTTCAAAAGGCTTATGAGTAAAATACTCATGATCATTAGTGTCTCATTCAACTCCAATTAGGAAGCAAGCAGGGAAGGTATTATTCTCTTATTCTCTCCTCACGTGGCTGCCTCTTCCTGTACTACCTGTAAGTTTTTGGATAGAGCCATATGAGATATTATTTTTTGTGAAGGCTCTGGTCCCTGCTGAGGTAATCCCTCTAGAAATTTTGTTTTGGTGGCAGGCACCTCAGCTAGGAGCTCTCTCCCCTTCATGTTTGAATCAGAGACTATTGACTGTGAGCTCTTTAACGGACTTAAAAATGAACAGACCAGATTCCAAGTTGAAAATGTCTCAGGGGAAATGATTTGTCCTGCCCTGTGTGCCTTTTTAAAATTTTTCCCAACTCTTTCCCAAATATCAGTTTATAGTGCCTGTTTGAGGAAACCATGAATTATATTTGGCTACCTCTTTTAACATTTTTGTTGTCTTTCTTTGGCACATGAGCCCCTGAGCGTTTAAGCAGGCTTTGGAGCAGTTGTAAATAACTTTGTTCCTCCACTGAAATTTTTTGCCCCATATTTTACTCCGGGATATACAGGCTTTTCACAGTGGGAAGATTCACCCTTTTTGTTCCCTCTCTTCTCTCCAGGTGTCCCTGGGGAAGTTTTCTTCCTGTGAAGCTCTCCTCTGTTTCCAAACCTTTCCACTCTGGGTGGACTTACTCATTCAGGCTAAAATTCCTAGTCCAGGGATTTTAGAACCTGCTCCAGGCTCCAGTTATTGTGTCCTGACCTAGATCCCCGATCTCCCAAATGAGTGTATGGTAAATAAAATGAGACAAGTGGTATGATTTTAGGGCCCCAGGAGGGTCAAATCCCTTTAGCTGAGCTTGAGACTCTGAGGGCTAAGACAAAGACTTCTCTGGACTGCCCATATTTTTAGGTCCAAACCAAAGGGTGGGGAAACTGAGGAAAGCAACAGGAAATGAGCAGGACCTTGGGAGTCATTTCAAAGATTTCTCCAAGTAGTAAATTATACCAATTAAGGAGAACTTATCTCCAGGTCTTATCTCCAGGCTGACATTTATGGTAGGAGTGAGATTGCAGGAGTGAAATTTCTTCAGCTGTAGTCTATTTACTTAATTAGTGCTGGAGCCAAGGTGTCCTCAGTTGTGGCCTTATCTTCCCTTTGAGGTATCTCTGGCCTCACAGGCTGCTACAGGGCTCAGCCAGGACCAGTGATCATAGAAGTTCACTTACTATGAATCAGCTCCTGTCGCCAGGCAAGGGGCCGAGGCCTAAGACAGACTCACAGATAAACATAGACAGCCAATTAATTAATTTAGAAATTTTAATTACTTTTTCTTCTAAAGGAGGTGAGAATGGCTGTTAAGGCCACATTTCAGAATGGGTGAGAGGTTTTCTGAGATATGTGTGCAAAGGCTATCCGAGGCTGGCCTGCATTTCTGAATTTGCTTTTTATTTTTATCCCAAGGCTCTGGACTGAGAAACTGTAACATAGAACAGGAAAAAAGCCCCCCATGATTCGCTGTTCTTTGTGGTCCTCTGGGTTATACTGTGTTTCCCCAGTGGAATTTTTGGCCCTGATTTAGCATCTATTGGCCTGACGACTGCTCCCAAGGAAAATCATGGTGAGAGGAAGGGAGGCCCTGGCTCCCTCAGTGGCCATTCTGATGAAAGATGTCACCACCTGTGTGGATCTCTACAAGGCTGTCATCAGATCTGCTCACAGCATCTCTTCTGCTGGGATGACTTCACCTTAAACGCCTTCAGTCCACAGAGAGAACTGATCACAGGTAATCTGTGGCCAGCATCCTCAGGGCTGGATACTGTCCTTGTCTGGTAGTCATCCTTTTGCATTTGTGGCCAGTGCTCCAAAGATGTTGCATCTGGGGAAAGAGCACCGTGGCTGTGTTTGCCTGAGCAGCCTGCTGGGATATTATAACTCAGCTCCCATAAAAATTTTACAAAAGAACACATTCTTTTGTAAAGAGGAAAAGGAAGGGGAAAACGGAGAAAATGGATAGATAGAAGAAAAAAATTCAGGATAAGGAGTTCCAGAAAGATGAGGGGCCTGTAGATCCTTTGTTCCCAGCTGCTTTTATGGGGGGGGGGCGCGTGAGTGCCCCTGCCACACAGAACTTCCCATAACTGGCTTGGCTTCTGGGCCCTTCTGCCTAGCGTCCTTTCTTCTGGCTGTCTGCGTACAGCTCACTTCCGCCTGTTTCCTTGTCCTTGAAGAACCGCTAAGGGCTTCTCTTTGGGGGTGGGTGGCTAGATGCCTTACTTTGGTTAGCTTAGAGTTAGTGAGGGGGCCTGTGGAGAGCTATTTTAGTCTATAGTGACCCTAAAGTGAATCATGTGGTGAGTCTAGAGTGAGCACACGCGTGTGTCTGTTAGTGCACAGGTGTGAGCACACGCTGCCTTAAAGTTAGCCCGGCCTCCTGTGTTTTCCCTCTATTTTATTGCAGGTGGGGGCTGCTTATCATTTGTGCACCTGGCCTTCTTTCTGTGTCCTGCCTGTCAGCTGTTTCTTTGGTCTCTTTGTGCAAGTGCCAAGGCCATTGGCACCTTCCTTTGTTTTATCCCTCTCTCTGTCTACCCGATGTCCATGACTTATTTATTCCCAGGGGAATTTTTCTAGTGAAATTTGTGTTTATCTTTTCTGGTTAGGGTTAGGCAGTGAGGCTTCCTATTCTGTTTTCTTGTTTACAGACTTCTGGCTCCACGAGACCTGTCTATTATGCTCTGCTTTTCCTTTCAAGCCATCTGATCTATATCACGACTTCAGCACCACTGAAATGCAATCGAGTCCCACATTTCTGTGCATAGCCCAAGGCTCTCGGCTGAGCCCTGGCTCTAGAGACCTCCAGCCTCCCTAAATTCTCCCACCCCATGCCACACCAGCACCTCTAGTACAAACGACTTGTGATTTTTCTCCACATCAGCCCTCTTTC